CCCAAAACCCCAAAACCCCAATTTGCTGAATATAAAGATTTTGAGGAGGTAAGAGACATTTAAATAAGAAAATATAATGAATTCTAAGATTTTTCAAGAGTGAATAGGTTTGTCATAGGCTGCCATGCAGGCTTCCTTAAATGCCTCACTAAGAGTTGGATGAGCATGGCAAGTCCTTGCTATATCTTCTGCTGAAGCACCGTACTCCATTCCCAATACTCCCTCAGCTATCATTTCTCCAGCATTTGGTCCAATAATATGAGCACCTAAGATTCTTCCAGTTTTTAAATCTGATAGTATTTTAACTAATCCATCAGAATCATTATTTGTTCTAGCTCTGCTATTAGCTTAGAATGGGAAGAGTCCCTTTGAATAACTGATATTAGCTGCCTTTAACTCTTCTTCAGTTTATCCAACTGATGCAACTTCCGGATAGGTGTAAATAACACCAGGAATTGTTCTGTAATTGACATGACCTCCTTCTCCCAAAATGTGCTCTACAACAGCAATACCTTCCTCTTCAGCTTTATGCGCAAGCATTGCACCCTTGATAACATCACCGATAGCGTAAACTCCTTTGAGATTCGTTTACCAATGATCATTTGTTTCAATTTTACCATACTTATCTGTGATAATGCCTACTTTGTCGAGTTGAAGTCCTTGGGTATAAGCTCTTCTTCCAGCTGCAACCAAAACAATATCACAGTCATGAGTTTCTTTCTTACCTGTCTCTGGGAATTCAAGATCAACTTAAGATCCATTTGGGCCTCCTCTTGCTGCATTAACTCTGCATTTTAGAATAAACTTCATGCCTTATTTCTCTAGTGACTTTCTGAATGAAGTTGAAATATCTCCATCTAAGAATGGGCATACTTTATCTGCATTTCCTAATACAATCACCTCGGTTCCAAGTCTTTAGTATACACTACCTAATTCCAAGCCAATAACTCCACTTCCAATTACCATCATTTTCTTTGGAATTTTATCAAGTACTAGAGCACCAGTAGATGAGACTACATACTTTTCATCAGCAGGGCAATTAGGTATTGGAGAAGGTTCACTTCCTGTAGCAATAATGATGTTTTTTGCTTTTATTCTCTCAGTTCCACCTGCTAACAGATCAATATCTATTTCATTATCCGAGGCAAACTTTCCAGCACCTTTTGCATAGTCTACTTTATTCTTTTTGAGTAGGTGTTCTATTCCACTTGTCAACCCTCCAACTGCATTATCCTTTTATTTCATCAATTACTTGAAATCGACACTTATTTCAGAGGCAGTAATTCCGAACTCCTTAAAGTCATGCTTAGCCTCATACAGTTTATGAGTTGCGTTTAACAAAGCTTTTGAAGGAATGCAGCCAACATTCAAGCATGTGCCTCCAAGTGTGCCTCTTTTCTCTATGCATATAGTTTTTAAACCCTTTTAGCCTGCCTTAATTGCAGCGACATAACCTAAAAATCTTGTTATCTAAATTGACTATTGCTGATATTTTACCTCCAGGACCACCACCAATGACTGCTAGATCATACTCTTTGACTGCAGCAGAGAATAGCCTCATCTGAAGTGAGTATACGGATTAGAATCTCCTTTTGAATAGCAAGGCAGTGGTAGATAGTTACATATTTAAAATTTATTATATAAATAGTAAAGCCATTCATTATGTAATCATTCTGTTTATATTTGTTAATCCATAAAACATTCCCTACCACAAATACCAATTAGCTATTATTGGGGTTTTGGGGTTTTGGGGTTTTGGGG